AGCCTCGCTGGGCACCTGGAAGCTGCCGGTCCGCTGCTATGTCAGATAGCGCCGTGACATTTAAGACATATTATAGATAGAGGCAGCACGTCTTTAGCTTCAAACACATTAGGACTAGATATTAAGAAGAGTAAGTTAAAGATCTAATTTAGTATATAAAGTTTAAGTAGTGCGTTGTTAGGACATGTCGCGTAATAGTGTCAAAGTTGACGCGCTGGTGGGACGTGGGCCACTCGCTTGGGTGGGCCGCTCGCTTGTGAACTACGTTATAGTGAATACTATTAACATCTGTATATAAGAGAAGATTAAATGATACTATATTATAAAGATACTGTAAACTCGTGAAGATCGCTATCTGGAAGTAGGGCTTTCCCTTCTTCGAATCTTCTTCCTAAAAGACCTCTAGCGGGATAAGAAATTGTTCCTGGCAAAGAAGAAGGCTAAAACGATCCCTGCAAGAGATAACAAGATTGCGCAGAAGATAGCAATAAACAAAGCGGAGCCAGTAGGTAAAAATCCATTTTTGCTTGGCTACCTATATAAACACACTTAAAATCGCGGTACAACTGCTCTACCCCGATTGATACAATACTCTCGCTACTAGTAGCTCTCAACACTAGCATACATCTTTAAGAAATAATAATGTGAAATCCGACAGGGCACTCTCCGTTGCCTCCGTTATCCTGAGCAAACTTCAAGGTAGTGTCGTCGCTGCAAATGCTTCCACCAACGCTAGCAAAAGCCTGGCCCTCTTTGTAGTCGCATGGACCACCACCAAGACGGTAGGCATTGCCGAGTTTGATCTGAGGAGCATCGTTGAATGGAGGAGCTAGTACCGGCTGGTTGTTGAAGGTGGTTTGGCCAGGGACGGGGAAAGAAACACCGGTGTTGCCTTGGAAGATGATGTTGCCGGGCCCTTTCTCCGATTGCTTGGAGCCGCATCCGCCGAGCATGAGAACAAGGCTGCATGTTTTGTTCTTGGCCCAGGCGGGAATGTCAAACCTGGTCAGAGTGCACTTGTCACCAGGTGTGACCTCGGCCTTTTGTCCGGCCGGAACGGCTTTGTTGGGATTTTTCTTGGAGACTACTTGGAGGAAGGTCGGGCTAAGTGCCTTAGGAGGAAGTTGGCCAGTGGGAGCGATGGGCTGGATAGCAGGGCAAGCTTTGTCTCCACGAAGAACCAAGGAAGAATCTGTGGGAGCGGCTACCGCAAGAGAGAGGAGCGCAGCCAAGATAGCGAATGACTTCATTTTGAGTACAGTGAACCGAGAGCTGTTCAGATGGAAAGGTATATTAATTAAAAGAAGGAATGTGAGTGTGCTGTACAATAATTGTTAAAGTTGATCTCGCCGTGAATTTATATCAGATTCATTGAAGGTGGTGTTCCTAATTAAGACATGGATAATGTTCAGCTCCGCGCCACTGGGCTTATGGTGGCCCTGCATTTCCACAACGAATACGAAGAGCTGGCCCTGCAACCTTCCAGAGTGCCACACCCAACCGTGCGCACTAGCTATTTGAGTAAATTAAGTGTCGGATCTTCTAGGGTACACATGATATGACCAATCATAGCGATGCGGGGGGGTTTATTGAATTCAAATTTGGTTGCGTATAAAGGTGATCAAGGCTCGCTAGAACGGGTGGGCAGTGCCAACGATGCGGGCGGTCAAGGACGGCCCGGGTCTTCGAAACGGTCAATCAGGGATAAAGTTGACCCTTTCGAACTTGGAGACGCAGGGGATTTTAAAGCTATTGTTACAGATTCGAGACCCCTACAGACGATCGAAATGTTAGCCTTGCTAACGCAGAGTCGGTAGCGCGAAGCATGTGGTTGGTACTACTGTATTTGCAAGAGGCGCTCGCAAGATACATTTTGCCGTGCATGTGGCTTTCAAATATTGATTCGTTTTTATTCAGCTTATATCCCAATCCTTCGTGCTCACAGACTAGCTAGAAAAGTGGCCCCTTGCGTGGTAAGGCCTGGTATTGCTTTGCGCCTGATGAAGGATGCTGCTGGCAGCAAACTCACTAGCATCCATCTTAGGCATAGCTTAGGCACATATGGCGTTCCCCCTCTTCCGAAGCCGAAGCTAAGCTCACGCCTTGTGGGACCCATCTCACATGCAACACGAACGTGGCACGCGAGGACCCCTAATCAATATGAATTATCGCTAGCCACAACAGATGAGTTGGCTAAGGGAGATGATATAGCTCTCGCAGCTCACCTACCTTCGCTACATGGTTGTGAATCTGGTTATGGTTACATGATGAATGTACTTCACATGCGAATGCGAACTATTTCTCTTACTAATCTTACATTCCATTTAGCCTTTAGTGTGATATCTAGATACTAAGCATTATTTGGAGCTGACGGCCAGCGATACCCACTTCAAACCTCTTTTATTGAAAAGTAGATGTTCAAAGCTGTCTGTATTAGCTACATAGTGGTGTGGCGAGGTTCTAAGTCTAACTCTTCCCAGATTACTTAATCTTACTAGATAGCCGAGGGTGTAAATAGTCTAAGAGTTGTTGCTACACAGTAGCGCTGCAATGGGTATCTGCAAGAGAGAGAGAGAGAGGAAAGGATAACTTCAATCAGCATTGGCACACTGAATGTTTGTCTGGGTTGGCCAAGGGACTTCTAGAATCATGGCTCCTGGTGGCAGGCAAACTGAATATTCAGAGCGCACTCCGAACTCAGCGTTCTCATCCTCCCATCATCATCGAGCTTGATGCCGACACCAGCCTTATTGTCCTTGCCGCAGTCACTGTTGTTCCAATCGCTACCACCGCCAGCCGACGTGAGCTCTGGTGTGTCTGAGTTAGCCGTCTTCATCGCGACAGTGAGGACGGTTAGCCATGGAAATGTGCAACGCAGTCATGACCTGGTCACCTACAGAGCGGTCCATCTAGACGTGCTCCTGTGCCTAGACGTGTCCCTTAGCCATCTGGTGTAGTCTCGCCCTCGGTGGCGCCGCGGTCGATGTTCCGCAAGGTATTGTCGCGGTGGGTGGTGACGTATTCAACTCGAATGCACCGAGCAGGTGCTCCCACACGGGGATGCTTTTCTGCTTGGAGTTCTCGACAGCTGTCTCGAGACAAGCGGTGGGCTGGTCGGAGAGTGAGATGGCGGTGGCTTGCAGTTGCTGCACAACATTTTGGTTAGGTCGGATGCTCCTCCCAAGACGCGTCTTCTGGGTTGTTGACCGTGCTTGGACGCGGAGCGGCTGGGGGTGGACACGGACTATAATTCTTCCGTATCTTGTGTGGCAAAGTCTCGATGCCAATATATGTAAAAGAACGAAGTAACGGGCGGTAAATTTAGGTAGAATTATTATATGTCAGAGCTGCCATGTCAGTATGCAGAAGAAACACCGCTGTCAACATTATCCCGAAATCCAGCAGAGCGGCAAAACTATGGTGCATTCTCCAGTCCATGTCACGGAATATTGTAAGAAGCGGCGCAAAAGTCGAGCTAGCTAAATACCGTTTAAAGTGGCTAAGATCCCCAAGATCTAACCCGCCGCACTAGCACTGTCACAGGCAAGATGTATTAAAGATGCCTAGATTCTAGGTTAGCCCTAGGCGGGGTTGGACGTAATATCGCGGGCTATAACGTTCCCTAGAGGTAAAGTAAGAGCGTTAGGTACGAGTGCTAACACTAAAACTTACCTAAGTAGCGGGACTATAGAATATAAGCTAAAGACGTTAGATAGAGTATATTAGTATCTATATATATTTATCCTAGATACCGCTAGCTAGGCCCTTAGTAGTGCTATTAGAACTTACTATAAGGTTTACCACTCTTATCCTATTACTACTTACCTTCTTAGCACTAGCATAGGTAAAGAACTTAACCTACTATAACTCTATTCTCTCTAGCTAGCATTCTAACCTATTATATATACCTATTAATAGAACGTTTTTATACGCAATATTAATATTCATCTTCTTTCTTAGTCTATCTATCTACTGTTATAAGCAATAGTAAGAAGGATTCTCTCCTTAGATATGACGAAAGATGGTTGGGAAACTACTTAGGATCCTAGCTAGAAAGGTAATTATCGCGGGGCGAGATTACGTAACTTAGTATCCCGCCAAGGTATAGCCTCTAGGAGGCCACCGTAGATAGAGAGGCCAACGTTCTCCTAAACCTCCCGCCAAGATAAGAAGCTAAGGAGGACAGGACTAGAAATAATAACAATATAAAGATAGATAGATTTTATTATTTACTCTTATTATAGTTAACTTAAATTATATTTTTTTACTAGTTACTTTACTAAATAAGATAATTACTTATTAACTAGTCTATTTAATATAGATTAGTAGTTGTTAAACCTTTATTACCTTCTATATAAGCACGACACTCTACTATATCACTAAATAAACTCTTATAGAGCTCTTTACACTATCTTACTTACTCTAATCTAGATTAAGTTTAGAGAAGTATTAGCACCTAACTCTATATAGTACTTTAACTACCTATAGATTTAGTAGACTAGTAGATTAATAATAGAATACTTAATTAAGATTTAAGATATCTTATAATTACTCTTAATCTTAGGCTAGCACTGTTAGAATAAGTGGGTGGAAGTAGCTGCTTGTTCTAATAGGACTCAGTAGTAGAGGTCTCTGCCTTCTACTTATTCCTAGTAGACTTAGAGGCAGCTAGTCGATAGATTCTTAATAGAAAAGAAATAGTGCTAGGGGAGAGAGATAAAGATTAGATT